AAAGGCACGGGCTAGCTGTGACGGGTGTAAGAGTGGATTGCAGCTGAGAAGCACTCGGCTGGGCAGGCTGCCTCCTCCGGCAGCTGCCCGGCAGCTTGAGGTGCTCCGCGTTGCCAGCCTGGCTCAAGTCAACGGTCCATCTTGAGCTCTGGTCCCCGCAGGGTGCTGCTTGCTGCTTCAGGAGAGGGTGATGATAGCTCAGAGAGCCCTCGCTGGGTGGGGAAGAGCAGTAGGGGGGAGCATCCTCTGGCAGACCTCTCCCATGTGGGTAAGGTAGAATGGAGGTGGTACAAGAACCTTCAGATGTTACTCACAGTGCTGCGCATGGGTAAGGAGCGAAGATCCCTGCTCCCAGTTTAACATAAAAGAGTTCCCAAGCAGTGTAAAGGGAGCTGGGTAGAGGCACCCTTCTCCCTGCCAAGGCTGGCCCTTCTGCAAGGTCTGCCCTCAGCACATGATAGTGGGATATTAAAGCTTACATAAAATGTAAAATCTTCACTGTGTAGAGCAGCCCTTGCGTCTGCATAGAAGCTTTGATGTGGGAATGCTAGGCAGGGCCACCAGCCAGCCATGCAGCTTGTTGCAGCCTAACCCTGTCCTTGAACAAAAGGTTTCTGACCTCTCCCCAGCCCCGGTCTCTGCCTGGCCTGGCTGAGCTGTCGCGGGGACCCCAGACTGGTGCTGTCAGTGTCCCCAGCCTGGTCACCTCGGAGTCATCTTCCTCACCGAGAGGCGTGTGTCACCCACCAAATGGCAGTCACCTGCCTGGCTGTTCACGTCCTCCCCTGCAGCCAGCGGGTTCTGCTGAGAGGAGTGGAAAACTCCGCTGAAATGATGGAAAGGGATAATTTAGTGTGAGATACTTGAACTGAAGTGGCATCCAAAACAAGTGGAGTGCTTACCAAGCAAAAACACATGTTGTCCCTGTCCTGGAAGAATAACCATCTAATGAGACAAAGCATGGGGGAGTCAAGTAATTAGAGTGGGAGAGGCTCTAGTTTGCAGCTGGTTTGTATATGAAAGGTATTTGATTCCCCTTCATCTTCCTTTCTAGATTCACCCCTCATGCCTCCCTTCCCCATCAATTACAGCTTTTCTTCCGTACCCTGTCCTCTCCCAGCCTCCGGCTTCCTCCCAGCGGGTGGGAGCTGCTCGCTAATGAGACCAGAGACAGAGATAAATGGTGTGTGCCATCACCCAAAAAAGAGTCAGGGAGGCCAGAAAGCCCACAGGACCTTTCTTTTTGCCTGTTTGTTTTACATGGAAGAAGTGGGGAGGGGGAAGCGAAGAGGGAAAGGTGCAGATGATTAGTTTGTTGATGACGATGATTAGTTTCTCCAGCATGACAAAAACCATCGATCTACGGGCGGGAGGCAAGCACAGAGATTGTGGCCATGCTTTACACTGCCATCACTGCCTTCCTCTGAGAAACTCAGCCTGCACAGCACGGCCAAGTAATGCAGCTGCCCCTGGCAAGGGCCAAGCTCGCAAGTCCTCACGGTAAATCTCAAACTCTGTTTCAATGCCGGGACTTGACACATGATAATTTTTGAAAGTCTGTTCCATCGCAAATTTCATGCTAAACTTGGAGGGGCAAAACACTGGTGACCCTGGGGAGAACGGGGAGATGAAAATGAGGAGATACACACAGAGCTTTGGGCACCCGATTAGGAGCCCAGACAGCTTCACTGGGTCTGCTCCTGCTGGTAGCCATCAATATGTTGCATGCTCAACAAACCCTGCTTCTCCACCTCCTCATCTGGAGTGATACACAGAAGATTGGGCTGGAAACTCCAGCAGATGTTCCTCCATGAAGAGCCTTACTGCTAAAATCTTGCCATTCAGTCAACCTCAGTAGCCCTTGAAATGGATGTTCGAAGTTGCCCTCAGCCCCTGTGACAGGTGAGGTCAAGGAGGCAGGGAGGTCCTCATTACACCTCAGTGATGATCTTTCAATCTCTCTCCCCATGCAGGACCAGTGGAGAGCAAAAACGAAGCAGCCATGTCTGAGCTGGTCCCAGAGCCACGACAGAAACCAGTCGTGCCGATGAAACCCATGGGCATCAATGCCAACTTGCTGGGCTACATAGGTATTGACTCCATCATCGAGCAGATGCGCAAGAAAACCATGAAGACGGGTTTCGACTTCAACATCATGGTTGTAGGTAGGCAGGGACCAGCTGAGGTACTGGGACCCATGGCCAGGGGCTGTCCTATGAGGCCAGGTGGGAGAGCGAGCCCTGCAGGGAGGGCACAAGGGAGCAGACAGCGCTTGTTCTGGGGGGAAGGAGAGCCTGCACAAGGCAAGCAGACACCTACAGCCCCTTCCCCTGCCAGCCTGGCTCTGTTCCCTGGACCTGCTGTCATCACTGGGCCGTTGCAGGTGTCACGAGCTTCCTCTTTGCAATCCTCAGGTCAGAGCGGACTGGGGAAGTCGACGCTGGTGAACACCCTCTTCAAATCCCAGGTGAGCCGCAAATCTTCGGGCTGGAACCGTGAGGAGAAGATCCCTAAGACGGTGGAGATCAAAGCCATTGGGCACGGTAAGAGTGAGGTTTCTGGGGTGGAGGCAATACCGATGCTTCAGCACAGTCTTGCAGAAGACCCCAGTAGTCTATGCAAATAGTTCTTTGGTATTAGGCAGCCCTTTCTTCATGGGAATTTAAAGGACAAGTGCCAGTTTTAGATGGCTTCAGACCCAGGCAAGGCTCTTCTTAAACAGCAATGCCACTGATGCCACAGCCAAAGGTGGGGGTAGAAAAAGTGTTATAGATATTTCTTCTGCCAAGACAGTAGTCTTCCTGTGTGGATTAAGCCTTGCTGTAAGTCATTCCCACCTGCAGACACTTAATAATCTATACAAATCGCATCAGCGGGTCCCATCCCAAGCCTGGTAGGGCACATCTCATGGCAAAGCGGCAGCACAGCTTCTACAGTGGTGCAGAGTAAAGAGCATCATCTCAGATTGAGGATGATGCGCTGGAGGGGAGGGCAAGCTGTGTGAGGTAGGTACTACCTCTGCACATTTTCCTGTGGCAGATGAAATATAAGGTATAAGGTGGCTTTGGTGCAGAGGTTACCAAAATTTGGGATCAGAAATGCAAGTAGGGGTCACACAACTGTTGAGGTACGACCCAACTTGGCCTGGTCATGCTTGCTGGGCAGTGGTGAGGGCAGAGTACTCTTGTTCCCTCGTACGGCACTGAGACATGTTTCATGATGGAGCAGGTCCCCAGGGAGGCGTATGATTGTTTGCAATTTCTTCCCCAGTCATTGAAGAAGGTGGTGTCAAAATGAAGCTGACAGTGATTGACACGCCAGGATTTGGGGACCAGATCAACAATGAGAACTGGTGAGTTTTACAAGGTCGAGGCCTTGTGTCCCAGAACGGGCTGCAGTTAAGATGGTATATGGAGTGACTCTCATCTACTTGGCCTGGAAAGGGTCTGGAAAACTACTGCACTCAGGGGACCAGTAATGGGGACATGGAATTGTGAACACCATGGGGCTGTGTGCATGCTCGGGGGTATGCACACATTACACAGCGAGTGCCTATTTCTGTGCTCAGTTACAGAAACTCTTAAACATCTCTGCTGATGGCGAGATGCTTGTGGTGGATATTTTTTATGCCTGAGCGTGCTTTGCTGCTGTCAGAGCCGGGAACACTGTAGGCAGGAACACGAGGAGATTTGTACCTGTCTATTCATCTCTCTCTCCCACTTTAACAGCTGGGAGCCTATTGAGAAATACATCAACGAGCAATATGAAAAATTTTTGAAAGAGGAGGTGAATATTGCAAGGAAGAAACGAATTCCAGACACGCGAGTGCACTGCTGCCTCTACTTCATCTCCCCCACGGGTCACTCGTACGTACAGTCCCTCGTCCTTCCTCAGGCTCCTGGTGCCTCTGTGGCAGATACATACCCTGCACTGCTCCGTCTCAGCCACGGACCCAGGGGCCGCGCCTGCGGGGCTGGCCACTGTTTAGCTTAACTTTGGGTGCTGTGGGGCTTGAAAGGATAACAAGGGTAGGGAGAAACTGTGTTTCTTGGAGAGGGCAGGATGGATGGGAAGAGGGAGATGAGAGCATGGTGGCATCAAGCCACCACAACACAAGGGAGGTTTCGCTGGTGCCCTGATGCTGGCAGAGTCACTAGGACGAAAGGCGAGGAGGGTAAAGTGACCCCTCCCATGTTGTTCCCTCTTGGGGTGCAGCCTGCGGCCTTTGGACCTGGAGTTCATGAAACATCTCAGCAAGGTAGTGAACATCATCCCGGTTATTGCCAAGGCTGACACCATGACCTTGGAGGAGAAGATCGAATTCAAACAAAGAGTGAGTATCTCCTCTCCTGCATGGGATCGTTCCACGTGCCGGGTGGAGGTGGGAGAAATGAGCTTGGAGGTGGGATGGCAGGACAGTCCCCAAGGCATGCGCAGAGTCTGGCGCTGGGCTGGTGGGTAAGTCCTGAGACTGTCCTGAAGATGCAGCTGTTTACAGCTCTGAGGGCACCTGTTAAAGGGGGAAGAAAGGTGTGTATCCCTGCGGCATCTCTTGATATGCTCTGCCAGGGGAACTGCAGAGCTACACAAGTAACGGGGGCTGGGGAAGAAAGACTCGTCCTTGCTGCCGCGTGTCATCACTTCCCTGCATGCTTCCCTGGGGGAAATCCCTCCAGCCCTTGCCCACTGGAAGGATGTCCCAGATGTGTTTGCCCAGCCATCCTGCCTGCCTTCCCTTCAGGTTTGTGTTACTTTGTGCTCCAAAATGTCTCTCTGCCCAGGTGCGCAAAGAGCTAGAAGTAAATGGAATTGAGTTTTACCCCCAAAAAGAATTCGATGAGGACTTGGAGGATAAAACAGAAAACGACAAAATCAGGGTAGGAAACATTTTATTGTGGGAGGGGAAGGAGGGATGAGGCTGGTCATATGTAACAAGTGTCAAACAGATGTGCCACTAGAAGGTTTTAAGTACTCCGTGGTCCCCTGAATGAAAGATGCAATGGATGTAAGGGATGGTCATTCCTCCTTCCCAGCTTCATTTCTCCCTGTTGTTACTACAGGTGCCATGAAAGCTGCATGAGGAAGGTCTATGTTTCACCTCCTTTTGCTGAATGATCTGTTTGGCCACCATTAAGGACCAAAGGGGCCTGCTGTGTGGCTGATGTCCAGCCTCTGTCCCAAACAACTGTCTCATGAGCTCTCTCATCTGCTGACCAAATTTGACCTGAAAAGCAGTCCAGTTCTTCGTGCCCCCAGGCCGTGTGAGAAGGCTTGGCCCATCCTTCCCTCCTCAGAGCACTAGAAACTGTCTCTTAATTTCCAGCCTGTGCTTGCTCATGACCAGGTTGTACCCAGGATTATGTCTGTGTTCTTGCGCCAACACTGACTCAAGCAGTTCTCCCACCTAGAGGTCCCCTCCACCCCTCAAGGCACATATAGAGAACGATATTATCCTTTGCTGACCTTCTGGTCAGCTAGAGCAGACAGGCTCCTTTGGATGAGCTTCCCATTCCTCAGTAGTCTATGCTCCTAGACGCTTTTTTTCTGTGCCTGCTCCAGTTTGATTTTCTAGCACTGGTGCTGATACCCCATGCTCCCCCGTCTCTTCTGAGATCTGAACTGCTAAGGCCATGGACCACATGTGCTTTTTGAACAATTGCATGACACTGGTGGCTCATGGTCATCTTGTGACTGACTAGCATGTGGGGTCCCTTCTCTTCTTCAGTTGTTGCTTGTTCATGAGATCCAGCGTCGCAGCAGAAATCCTTAGTGCTGTTCCCTAGATGATGCTCTTTGTGCCTCAAACTTACGTGCATCTTCTTGGATAATAACCCAGTCTGCCTTTGTCCTGGCAACACCTCTTGGCCTTGTGATGCTAGTGCTTTTAATTATCCCATTCATCATTTTTGTGGCTAGGCCATTAATGAAAATAGATTGGCCTTCATGTCAGTCCTCAAGAAACTCCAGGAGTCTTGTGTTGCAGCAGGACGCTTGCCCTTTCAACTCCCCTAGCTGCTACAGCGCCAACTGATATTCCCACCTTCCCCAGCTTAATTATTTCCCATTTGGCAACACATTACACATTCTGGGGAAGACCAGATGGGTTTTGCTTCTTCTCCAAACTGTTACTGGTTTTGAAGAGAGCACCACATTTTGTTCTGCACTTCAGCATCATTGCCCTAGGTTTGGATAGTCTCACACATAAGAAATGTATTGCTATTTAATCTCCATTACTGTGGTAACTGCTGTCCCTTCCCAGGCCCAGGGGCATCTATAAAGCAGAGTAAATCTATGAGCATCTGCACAACCTTATGAATAGCAGGGTCTCTTGCCCCCTGTGCTCTGGAAACAGGTGGTTTCTCCTTGTGCTTAGAGAAGATATCTATACTGGGAGGTTCCAAATCGCCTCACCTACTGTCCCACTTCCCAGGAAAGCTGCTCCCCTACCCCATTTCTGGCCTTCCTCAGTACAACCATTTTAGCCATTAAACTTGTTGAATGTTGATGTGTCTTGTTGGGGAGGATTATTTTGAGTCCTCTCCTTCTAGTGAAGAACTACAAACTTGGTGAGAAAAAACTCACTGCAAACTATTCCTATGAGCAGCCCTGGGCTGACAGACCCTCTCTTGATTATGCCAAGGTACTTCTCTGGTCATTCCATCTTCAGAAGTGCTGGAGATGGGGGCAGAAAAACTCAGTCCCCCTCTCCAGAGCCCTTGGCACTGCTGCAAGCTACCCACTAAGCTCATGGGGTGCAAAGACACCTGTAAAACAAGGGCCCAAAATGCTAGGGATAGTACCAATGGGTGAAGAGGACAGCCGGTGAAGTGTTGCTCTGGAGAACCTCTTCCCTTGGAGAAGGCCTTGTGTTTGGTGAGCTGAGACGAGGAAAGGTGGATGGGGAAGCTGCTTTCTGGAATGGGTTCAATAGGTCTCTCCACATGTCTCTCCCCAGCAGGAAAGCATGCCCTTCGCAGTGGTGGGCAGCGACAAGGAGTACCAAGTGAATGGCAAAAGAGTCCTGGGCAGGAAAACACCTTGGGGCATCATTGAAGGTAAAAACCCCTTTGCTTCTGGGAGCTGAAAGTATCTCTGCAGGCCTCAGTAATATACAAGGGTCCAGATAACATGCCCCATGGCCACCTTCCCATCCTAGGGGACGTAATATATGCTTATAAATATCTGAAGGGTGGGTGTCAAGAGGACGGGGCCAAACTCTTTTCAGTAGTGCCCAGCGACAGGACCAGGGGCAATGGGCACAAACTGAAGCATAGGAAGTTCCAGCTGAACATGAGGAAGAACTTCTTCCCTCTGAGGGTGACGGAGCACTGGAACAGGCTGCCCAGGGAGGTTGTGGAGTCTCCTTCTCTGGAGATATTCAAGACCCTCCTGGACAAGGTCCTGTGCAGCCTGCTGTAGGTGACCCTGCTTCGGCAG